TACTAAAGTCAATGCCTAAACCATGTCCAAAAGAACATGGTGAATTTTCCATATTTGAAGTGCATGAATGTACAATATCATGCAACAAATGAAAAAATGGAGACACTGAAAGGATAAGTCATTTACCCAGAGTAGGTTGATGGCAGCATCCAGGCTACAGCTTGGGTCTTGCAATTCTTAGTTCAGGACTCTTTTCACTATAACAAGGCCCTTCAATTCCATCTCCCTTTCTCCTCCTTAACATGATAGATGCTGCCTCTTGCCCCAAAGTTCACATTTCATGAGCAATAAAATTTCTATAGTTATAACCATGGCTTCTCCAACCATGTGTTTCCTCTCAGTGCTCCCCACCAGCCAGTCTTGATCCTGTCATGGTCCCGAGGAGAAGTGGAAACAGGACCCTGGTTAAAAAGTTTCAGTGGAGGTCTGGTGGCCACCTGGGCCTGGGACTGTGGGAGTGACTAATAGTATTACAAAGTCTTGTGGCCAACTTACTGGTGCTGAGTTTGCTGGTAAGCCTCTCTGTCAGCTGGCTTCCCTGCGCAAGTTGCTCCCGGAAGCTCTGCCCCAGGTAGTAGTCAATGTCATTGCTCTTTAGGAGATCCTCAAAAGATTTTACTGTATCTTTGGCATGCTGGGTGAGAAGGTAACAAATACCTCTCCCTTCTCGTATTTTTTGCCGTAGGTAGGATAGTTCTCGAGCCTGATCCTGAATCAGGGAATCATATTTCCTAATACAAGAAAGAGTAAGTATGGAAAAGAGTGAATGATATGTTATGGGGGCTTCTACAGAGATTGTTGTGAGAACATCTCTAAGGAACTCCCCTAAGTTGAATTTTGGCAAAAAATCAACAGGAAGTATTTAAGAGTAAATTCTGCTCTGAGAAACTATTGCATCAAAAAATGTAGTACGCCACTGTTCTTCAACTGTTTTATATATATGTTAGTTATACGTCCAAAAATAAATTGTAAATTCTATGAATGTAAAGACGGTGCCATATTTTAAATCCCTTACAGCACCAGTATAGTATGGCTCACAGCAGTTACTCAATAAATACTTAGAATCACTTAATCCTAAGTTTAAATAGGACCTTCCATGTCTTGTATTTCAAACACCATCTGACAGTTAAACTTCTTCTCTGCTATGATGCTGTGAAAGACTATTTTGCAAAGATGGCTATTACATGATCTCCCATTATATATG